GATCATTATCAGAAACATAAAGTTTTATTCAAAGGGGCTTTGGTGTATGTATTTTTTGCCTGTTCGAAATTGGTCCCATGTGGTGACTGCTTTGATAGTATTAACTGTCTTACTTGAGAGTTGCGGTGTAGTGAGAAAGGAAGAGTTGGGACAGATTGACTGGACTTGAGCCTGTTGCGATGATTTTACACACCAGCTCTCGTTCTTCGTTATTTAATGATAAATGTTCAAACTGAGATTCAGAGGGAAAAACCCAGTACGTTAAGTGATTCCAGCTTGAATTGCATTGAAACAGCTGAGTTTGCACCGTGTCTTGGACCGCAGCTGTAGGTTTCCCCCTAGCACAGGGAACTCAACATCTGGCCCATATCCATTGCAGCATCTGCCCAGGGCCAGCAGAATAGTCACACGCAGGCAGAGTAGCCTCGGGCACAAAAAATGATCCCCTACTGGAAGAGGTAGGAAAAGAAATCTGGAAAGGGTTTTTCCATTTGGTAGCAGTCCACAAGGGAGTGGACATTTCTTCTCTCAGATGCAGCAGCATCCTTCTCTGTTATGTCAGACATTAGGTAAGAGGGAGAAAAAACAAGAGCTATGTATCTATGTATCATACTTCATACAATTTTTTCGGGGTGCAGGACTGCATGCAGTTGTGTTGTTGAAGACAACATGCCATGTTGAATATGCTGGGGCCATCACATATCTAATCTTTTCTTCCCACCACTGGTTTTGCAAGCCTTTTGTCAGTCTCAGTCAATAAAGCTCCAACAACAAAAAATGCAACCCCAAACCCTCCAAAAGCAGTGTGTGAACTTTTACGTTCGTGCATGATTCTGGCTCAGCTTCCCGAAATAACGGCTTGTGTGAGCACAGGGGAGAGCTGTACAGATGTTTGACATGAGGCCTGCTTGGCCTTTGCCTGCAGTAAAAATAATCATAGTTTCTCTCAAACATGTGGAAGGAGCTGTACTAGGGCTAATCACAGCTTGATTCTCTGGCCTGCAGCTCCTGGGTGGCACCGGCATGTGGTTTTTGGTCTTCCAGTAGATATCCAACACAAGATGGTTTTGCAGGGTGATGTCTTTTGCGGCATGGACTCTGTATAACGTTGCAATCCACCCGTATGTTAACAACTGGGTTGATGGATACCTGCTTATGCAGCTCTTAGGGATGGTACTGGGTGTACAAGGCTTAACCTGGGTGCTCCTTGACTTCAGTCATCCTTTTCTGTCACCTTACAGGGAGTTCAGTGAAAAGCCATCCAAAAAGGCAAAAGAAAATGGGAATATATTTATTTTTCAAATAATAATTTTTTTCTAGAGACTTTCAGAAAATGTTCTGAAATCCGTTTGCAAATGTCAGTAGAAAACTAATTCCCATGAGATGCATTTAAGTGACAGGGAAGAGAAAAACAGCTGTGATATAATTCTCCAACTGTATTAGGTTTGGGGGTTTTTGTGCTACTTCTTTCAAGACATACCTAAACCTTCTTATTTGCTATCTAAATACAACTTGCAACGTCTTTCAGTAGCAGAAGAAATCATAAAAGGGAATGCTGTAAGCAAAGGATGTGGTTGCCAAACATGAAAAGGGCAAAACTAGCAGAGAGGGAGGGAGGGTCCTTCAGGTTTTGTGTTTCTCACAGCCTTTCAGAAACCAGCAATGCTCTTTAGCGCAGAAGCAACGTGCGTAAAGAACTGTGAACACAGCCTGGACGTGCTCAAGAGGGCACTTGGATTGCTCTATCTTCACGAAGATGTTGAACCCCTCAGATGATTAGTTGTACCTCAATTGCTCGAGCATTGTACCAGCTGCAGCGCAGGGTGCAGGCATGGGCTCTTGGCCCCCAGCACCCTGGCATGTCTGCTTGAACGTCAGTCTTGGGAATGCAAAACTCGCCAGAGAGTGGTGTCATCATGGTTTGCTTGAACTTTGTGCACGAAACTTGGAGTGTGGCCTCTCCTTCCAATTATGTGAGCAAATGCTGGCTCATAGCTCATAGCCATCAGGCTAAGCCTTTGGATTGCAACCCTCAGGGGAGAGCTTGACGGATGTCTTCTGTCATCTGTTACCTAGCAAAAGCCAGCAAACCTCACCCAGGAAATGTCGTCTGCAATTTCTGCTCAAGGGGCACCCAGTTATCTTCATTCATTGGACAGAAAACACATGACAGCTCTTAAAAAGTATTTTCGGTTATGGTCATAGGCTGCACACTTAGGTGCCAAAATAAAAAACAGAGAGAAAAGGTAGCATGGTAGTGACTGCAAATAGCCTTGCTTGCAATCAAAGCTGCTTTTGTGATAGGAAAACACTAGTCAGAGTCAGCTGGAAAAAGCAGTCTCCCATGTCTGGGAGCACCAGGAAGAGGTGAGCAGAGCAGAAGGTAAGATGACGTGTGCTGGATTTTCCCAGTGCACTTGTCATGTTAGGCCAGGAAAGGGGAAAAGAAGGAAATGGGAAGAAAAAAAAAAAAAAAAAGAAAAAAAAAAGACAGACAGACCCTTATTTATTGAAGATTTTTCCCTATGAGCAAATCCCTCCCATGATTTTCTTTCTACCAAGCAAAATTCCTCCTCCAGAGGCCTGAGCTCTGTGTAAAGGTTGGGAAATAAAAGAAAGAAGGGAAAAAACTAACAATTTCTTTTCTTGCTAATCAGTGTGCCAGGAGTAGAGGCTCAGGCTCCTCTGGGAGTTGCAATTACTCCCCTGTGGATGCTGGAAATGTTTTGGGGGTTTTTTTTATAGCTGCAGCTCTAGTCTGAATGATGGCAAAACTTAGTCTTCTGCTATTAGTGGTAGCTCTCAAGATAAAGCTGGGAAGAAAAAAGTGAAGTATCAATTTGGGGTGTTGCTGGGGAAGAGATGTTTCCACAGTCACAGTTTGCTTTCTTGGGAGCACTATGAAAATACCTATCCCAGCACTGTACTTCTTGGAATCAAAGTCTGCAGAGTCTTGGGTTTGAAGCCTCGGAGTCTTACCCAAAAGCTGTCTTTAAACTCTTGATATGCCAAGGCATGGTAAAAGCAAGTAGTAAAAGTAAAATAATCAAGATTTTACATATCTTGTTGTAATAGTGTTGATGATTTTTAAAGATTACTGCTTGTCTATGAGCAAATATTGTATTATGAAATATTATCTGAAGAATCCTTCTGTTAAAGCGATGCTGCAATGATGCTTTTCCCCAAGTTAAAAATTATTGGCAGCCTGAGTTAATCTGGAGGTTTGATCTCTGTTCTGTGCTGTAGGATTTAGGTAATTTTGCACAGGTTGCAGTCTCTTCGTGGCTTTGCTTGGATTTGAGAACCATTTATATGTAAATGATCCTGATCTCCTGTTTTTTCCCTCTTAGCAATTAACTTTGTTTTAAAGCGCACAGCTGTGTGAGCAAAATCGGCAAGCAGTGCTGCCTGGCGCCGGTGAAACTGGGTGGTGTTAGCATGGTGATCAAGTTTACTGGAGCTCGTTACCAAATTGACTCATTGAATAATCAGACCTTTGAACTGAGTTCAGTGGTATCCCATCCATCTTACTCTGTTAGGACACTTCGAGACAGCTTTTTTATGTCTTCTTATAATTTGTCCTATGTAAATGGAAAAGGTGTTTATTTTTAAAAGCAGCAAGAAAGTCCAGTTGAACAAGAAAAAAGTTGGAAGAACAAGCCCTCAAAGAGATTTCGATGCTAGTGCCAAGGGGTTTATGAAAGATAAAACAACTCTTTTTTATGGCTAAAGGAAAATGCCATTAAATCCCTTATGCCTAGCTGCTACAGTAAACTTGCCAAAGCAATTCCGAAAGCAACAAGCTATGAGATATTCAATGATTGTCAATGAAAACCAGGCTCAAAGCTGCATCACCCCTGTGTGTGGGTCAAGGGGAGCTCCTGGGTGCTCAGTATGTGTTTCTATATGCTCACAAATGACTGTAAGAATGATTTTAAGGCGAGTTTGCTAGTTTTGGCTTTCAAACTGCATCCGCTATATCTATTCAGTACCTCTGTGCCTGTAGTGCATGGCATAGGTCATTTTGCAAATGGAAAATAACTTGTTATTGCATGAGCAAATGGGAAAATTTCTGCAAGTTGTTATCTACCAAGCTAATTGTTGTTATGAAGAAATAAAATATGCACTCATGGCAAGACCTGCTGTAGTAAAAACAGATTATGTTTTCTGAAGTTCTCTACAAATTTTAATCCTCTCTGTAACATCAGATGGAAATCATTGCGTGGTGATCTAGCACAGCTTTGAGCAGAAACTAGAAGAAATTTGTCAATGTCTGCAGGATTTTGCATTGTATTTTATGGAGTTCATTCAAACTCAGGGCTTATAGGGAGATGGCACAAGAAGGCTGGAAAATCTGATCAATATGCTCGGCAGAACTGACTTCAGATCAGTGTCCTGGTGCTCAGGTGGTTTAGTGCCTGTTGCACTATTGCTTGCCTTTCTGGACCCTGGGGGAGAGGATAATCCCACTTTCTGAGGGATGGTAGAGGTGGAATTTTTAAACTGAACATTTTCTTGAAAAGTACTGATCCCGAAAAAAATTATGTTTATGATGCTGCTGAGTTTTAAAGTTGGAGAAGAGGGTGTCTCAGGCTTGCAGAAAAATTACCTGAAACCAGAGCAAGCGTGTGCTTCAACTGCCGTATTATTGATTACTCTGGCGCTCACAGCACCATGGGCTTAAATTACTTAAATAACAAAAAAACCCTTTCAGAATGGAAAAACTCCTATTTTACACTAAAGGCAGGCATCTCTATGCTTGAAATAGGTTGACTTGAATGAACTCCAGTGACAGCAATATTATTATACATTAATAACTAATATTGCACAAATATTCGTGTGGTCTGCTTCACTGGACCTAGAAGAGAGGACAGTCTCCACTCTCATGAGCTTGCAGGCTGAGCCTGCTCACACAGCTGGATAGTTAAGGGGCTGTTCCTCAGGGCGACAGGCTGATTCTCACATTTAATTTTAATTTCTGGCAAGGCTGGAGTTCACGCATGGCTATCTTTTATGTAGAAATTCCAGTTCGTGTTGCTGGACATGGAGCAACTGTGACTCTGAAGGATTTTTGGATGCTGGAAGAGGTGGGATGGTAGGGAGATGTTGTGGCATGGGAATTTAAGAGAAAATGGTATCAGACAAGGATAAGACAAGCCTATTCATATGGCCTCCTTACCTGCCTTTCCCAGACAGCCCCAGTGTTTCCCCAGGCAGGCATTGAGGGGCCAGTTGTGAATGTCTGGCATTTAACTGGAGTAAAAGTATTATGTTGAGAGAAGCAGGAGAGTGCTTATCTTTGGGAGAGGAAAAGGAAATGGGACAAACAGGCTTCTTCACAAGCTGTAGGTGTCATGGCACGGCAGGGGCAATGGAGTAGCAGTTGGAGGCAGCCTGCCTCAGTTTCCCCACCTGAGATTTCAGCTTAAGTCATAAAAAAATCCACATAAAGCTCCAATCTGTGCAAGCACCTTTGTGTAAAGAGGAGGCAAAATAAGGTAATTATAGGGTTAGCATCCCTCAATATTCACCACATGCAGTACTTAGCGCAGCTATTGTAGGATGTAGGATGGGTTAATGCATTTCTAAAGCAGGTTCCCCACCTCTTGCTGCTCGACCACTCATGGCAGATTTTAAATGAAATAGCCTGTTCAGCATTAAACTCTTGAGGATTTGGCTGGGCTGACATGCACCTTTGCATCTGCCATGTGGGCTGCAGCTTGAGGGGCCAAGCGCTATTGTTGGGATGAAGCAGCAAGGCATAAACCTGAGAGAAAATGAATGGCTTGCCCTGGAGAACAGCCTTGCATTCATCCCTCTGTGCACTGCTGTTTTGGGGATGGATTTGTGGTGTGGGGTTTTTTTATTACACCATTGAAAATGTTTTTCTGTCCAAACCAGCTGGGTCTTCAGCAACACTAAAAAATTAAAAGCACTTCTGTGCTAGGTGTTCCCTAAAAGATGGAAAATAAGATTTTTACATTAAAATGCCAGGAAGAAAAATGGTGAGGGCATAAAGTGCTGCTTTATTTTCATCAGATGCTAGTGCTTTTGGAAAATCGGTTGTGCTCCAGCAGTCACTACCCCCCTGTGTGCTTCTCTCGCTGTGTGCTCCAGCTTCTCTCTGAAAGACGGCTGTGCAGCAGGCCTTGCATAGTTCCAACTACACCCTGCAAGCTACCACAGTCAGCAGAGGGGACATCCTTGGGACCTAGGCTTGAGTCTCTTTTTTTCCTTCCTCTCTTTAATCAGCTCTGCTTTTGTTTCAGGAGTATCGACATCAGGGGCTCTGGGCCCAGGGAGCACCACCGTCAGCACCACACCACGAGTGGCCACCAGCAGCACCGGCCGCCCCACCACCACCTCAGCCTTGGGCAGGAGGAACAGGAGCACCAGCACACCATCTCCCATGGCTGACGTCCCCGACGAAATGACCACGCACCTCCCACCCGCCTCCTCCCAGTTGCCACCGGCTGGCACAGAGAGCTGCGACCCAATGGAAGCCCGTGATATTATGTGGTCTCGGACTCGGCAGGGCCAGGTGGCAAAGCAGCCATGTCCCATGGGCTCAATAGGTGAGAAGGGATGGGAGGACATGGCGAGCCATCTCCATCTGCCCATGAGAAGCTGTGAGTGCAACCAGGTTGTGGCACACACACTTTCATCAGCTGCGCACACTGAAGCCTTCTGTCAGGTCTGCATTGCCTTGGTTAGGTATGGCAAGCAGCTGGCTGGGACCAGAGGCTCAATATGCTGAGCATGTTGTGCAGGATCTTTGGCATCCCAGCCTCTGGCCGAAGGAGATGCAAGGTATCGACCTTGCGGGGTTGAGCTTGATGTGCTATAAGAGCCTCTGCCTCCAGAAGTTATGTACAATGCAGCTGTTGTCCCTGGCTTTGTCTGTATTTGTAGACCCTGGGCCCACTGACGTGTTGATGGCCAATGTTTTGCTTATTTTGGGGGTGGGGTGGCGGAAGCAACAAACCTTACAATTTGAAGCTCTGTGCTGCACTGTTTGCATTTCAAAGGCCTTGGCCAGCATTGTGGAGCACAGGTATTCTCAGATCACACTCCTGAACCAGCATGAATGATTTTTCAAACTGCAGCCAGCATCCAGTGTGATCAGCGGGGGGGGGAAACAGAGCCAAATCTTTCAAAATGGTTTACTGGATTTTGCTCCTTTTCTTCTACTCTCCCCCCACTAATTGTTTTCTTCCAGAAGGTTGCTTTGGGAAATTTTCTGTTCAAATTAAAACACAGTCGAATGAAGAATGGATTTTGGCATATGGTTCAGTTTGCTGTATTTTAACAAACACAGTTTTCCAAAAGTATTTATTTTTCAAGCTAGTCTTGGTGTCCAGCCCCAAGAACCCACTTGCCAAAAAGAAATCAGAAGGTAGAGGAAATTGCCTGAAAATAAGGGTTGGAGGGATCTGGCTTGCAGAGGAGACTCTGTTAATTTGCTGCTCCATTGCCCTGGAGAGCCATTCACATCTGTATATACGGATACTGACTCTCTTGAATTTGGTGAGGTCAGACTGATAAAATAGATGTTGAAGTATGAGGGACATGGAAAGACATCAGTGATGTGAATAGGTAAAGAACATTTTTGCTGTCTTTCCCACTTGTTAAAATCAATGCAAAAAGTATCATGTGGTTCCCAGAGAAGAGAAAGGATAATCTGAACTGAATCTATGAAAAAGAGAGGGAAAATGAAGGCTGGAGCCCTTTTCTAAGCACAAGAGCTAAGGACTGTATGAAAATAGCTAAGAAAAAAAAAAAAAACAAACCCAACTTGTTGATAGGGGATGGCAATAAGCCTTTCCTATCTCTAATTTCAGTGATTCATGTGACTTGTTAAAAGCTGTGGTATATTAGCAGTGGGCCTCTTCCAAATCCCTTTGAAGGCATGAGCAAACTCTCACTGGTTTTAATCGGCACTACCATCAGACCTAGCCTGTATTTCACTTCTCTGCTGAAAAGTTTACCTCTTCAGGGCAGAGCACTTTATAGGATGCAGAGTCTTTAATCTACATATACTGACTTTCTTGCTTTTTAAAGATCTTTAATTGCACCATTTTGGATGCATTTCTCTGTCTGGAAGGGCCTGAGGTGCTTTCCTGTCTTTTGCAGCAGGGATCTGGGTGGCCCTTGCCAAACAAAACTCTCCTCTAAAGTCCCTCTCGATGGTTGGGTGTGGACAGTAAAGTCCAGCATTGCATCTTGGCGTTTACATCACTTAAACTTCTGTGTGATTCCACCCAAATGGTTTAATGATGATTCAGACCAGTAAAATCTTCATAAAGCAGCAAGGAAGTCAAGGCACGGGGTCTGATCCCAGGGCACCAGCGGTGGAGCAGAGCACTCATAGAATCATAGAATCATAGAATGGTTTGGGTTGGAAGGGGTCTCAAAGATCATCTAGTTCCAACCCCCCTGCCATGGGCAGGGACACCCTCCACTAGACCACATTGCCCAAAGCCTCATCCAACCTGGCCTTAAACACTTCCAGGGATGGGGCATCCACAACCTCTCTGGGCAACCTGTTCCAGTGCCTCACCACTCTCACAGTAAAGAATTTCTTTCTAACATCTAATCGAAATCGACCCTCCTTCAGCTTAAACCCATTACCCCTTGTCCTGTCACTACACTCCCTGATAAACAGTCCCTCACCATCTTTCCTGTAGGCCCCTTCAGGTACTGGTAAGCCGCAATTAGATCTCCCCGGAGCCTTCTTTTCTCCAGGCTGAACAATCCCAACTCTCTCAGCCTGTCCTCATAGGAGAGGTGCTCCATCCCTCTGATCAGCTTCGTGGCCCTCCTCTGGACTCTCTCCAACAGCTCCATGTCTTTCTTATACTGGGGCCCCCAGAGCTGGACGCAGTACTCCAGGTGGGGTCTCACGAGAGCAGAGTAGAGGTGCTGGCTCAGCGTTTGAGATCCAACTTCAGTTTCTTAGTCCCTGGCAGCTTTCCTGCCTGGCCTAAGGCAAAGCCCTCCGTCCGTAGTATGCATTTGGCGAAATGTAGATAATATCCCTGCACTACCTCATGGGTCCTTTATGTCTTAGGGCCCCTAAGCACTAAGATGATGGGAGACTAGGATGCTGAGATGACTCAGAAGTGTTCTACCGAGGTCCTGAGCACTAATAAGCTTCCAGGCTTTGCACGAGGTGTCCGTCATTGTGAAATGCAGCCTGTGACTTGGAGTCCTGGAGGCAAAATGGAACTGATAACACTGAACACAGTGGCTTTCCTTTTCCAGGTGTTGCAACTTTCCGGTGTCTTGCGCCAGATGGGGTTTGGGAGCCCCAAGGACCTGATCTCAGCAACTGCTCTTCTCCCTGGATCAACCACATCACTCAGAAGGTAAAACCCTTCCTGTGTGTTGACCACACCAAGTCCACGCACTGACCTTCCTGAGCTCCCTGGCTGTTTTCACAACAGGGAACCCAAAGTGACCAACAGTCAGACATAAAGCATGAGCCATATGTAGTAGCCAGGAATTGCAAGGAGAAAGCAAGAGTGTAAAAATCGGATGGAAATTAAGGCAAAGAAGGTGAGGGAAAGGCAAAAGAGAGGGACTGGAGAGTGGAATTAAACTAGAGTGAATGACAGTTCTTGTTTGTGGCAAGAAAAGAAGGAAGAGGGAAGAGGAGGTGGGTGGACATATGGAAAATACCAACTTATTACAAAAGGAAACTTTCACGCATCCCCGAGGATTTTCTCATGCCGTGCAAGCACAAAATAAACCCTGTAGATGAAAAATCTTTACCAAAGAAAGGCAGGCTCAATATGAAATGTTTGCATTGCACTTCTGACTTTCTGGTTTTAACTTCTGCCCAAATTGTAAAAGAACTGATGAAATAGAAAACAATGCCGCAGTAATGCATATCTTTTGACTCTTAAGTCCCTTGATGAATGTTTTGTAGCACTTCATCATTTGTTAGTGTTAAAAGTGTATTAACGTGACAATAGAAGTTCAAGACAAGCAGAGCTTATTTGGTAGCAATATGTTGAACGTTTTTGTTATTAATGCACAGTGGTGCTTTCAGCTGATTTCATTACAAACAGAGACCAGATGCGTGTTTACGCCACAGAGTCTGTGGGCTGAATCCTTATTATAGCAATTTGTGGGGATTTATTCGCTCTTTTAGCCAGAGCGAGCGAGTCCCAGTGTTGCGGGCTAGCTCTGCTGCTGCGCGGTAGCAGCACTGCACTCTCGGAGAGCCAATGCTCGCTGGTGAACAGGATGAGGTGACCCTACAGACAAGACTCTGCCTTTCTCCTCTCTGTCCTGCATCTTAGCTGAGGCTCAACAACCTGCATATCGCTAGCACATACACCCGTGATCATCCCTATCTCACTACATCTGTATTTATACCCGTCCCTCCCCAAAGACAAGGGAAGACATCAATTAGCGTGGGGCTGCTGTGACATGGCACAGCCATTACAAACCCCATGGTCCTTCTGTCCCACGCAGGAGGGTGGGCAGCTCTCCTGCCATAGGCTCATCTAGCTGATTAATAAAGACTGCCTTTGCTGGCGTTAGCAGCTGTGCAGCTCTTGTTTTATGACCCACGTACTTATCCTGGAGGGGTTAATATTACTTACTCTAGCCATAATTCACCCAGGCAGCTGGGAGACCTCTTGCTGCTCGGTGAAGATGGCTAGGCCGTTAGCCATTAGCAAAGGAAAATAATAGCCTGTGCTGATGAAATCTCCATCAAGGTTAGGCTTATTTTATTTGAAACTCCAGCTATCATTTGCATAACAAATGAGCCTTATTTAATTTGTTACGTGCTTTCAAAGCAGGCTAAAATTGAAGAGCCAGGTTTTCAGAAATACCCAGCAGGTTACAATTGGACTGGATTTTATTCTATTTTTTTAATTGTTATTATTTTTCTGGAAGAATTTAGTTATGTTCAACTTTGGGAATCTTCCACCAGTCGGTGGAAAGACTAGGGGGATCAGCCAAATGACTCTGGATCTAAACTTTTGATGCCTGAATGGGAATCCTCTGGGATCTTAGCATATGTGGCCCAACCTCTGTGGAGAGCTGCTACAAAACATCAAGACTTTCCAGGAGTGACTTTTCAGGGGTGACCCCTGTCAGGCTTGCCTAGGGGCTTTTGTTGGTACTTGCATTCAGTAGTATACTTACGGCAAACACAGTTTTAAATTACTTATGAAACAACTGATAGGCACTTGGTTTCCCTGCCCAAGCAAGAGGCTTGGAAATCATCACTGTGCTTAGAGATGGAGACCAATTTGTCCATAAATCAGGCACTGGTTTCTCACATCCCTGCCATGGATGGGACACTTCCCTGCTCCAAGCTTGCAGATTTGCTCCAGCACCTCTGTAACGCTGAAAAAGGAGCCTTCCTCCTCTAAGCCAAGCCAGCTCCTCTTCTTGCTGCTGTGGGTGCAGCTAGAGGAAGCAGTAAGCCAGCCATGCCACGACAACAGGGGATGGTTGCACCCTGCAGCTCAGCTCTCCTGCATCCCCAGCATTAGGGTCCTCCTTGGGCATCCATCCCACAGCATCCACAGTTACAGCACAGCTTACCAAATGGGTAAAAACACTTCTTTGGCAGCCACGGTTCATACCTGCTCAGTATGTCTTCGCTCCTGATCTGCTTTGTCTCCCAAAAATCCCCTCATCTGTCACCTGCTGGGTCCAGGCAGCTCAGGAGGAAGGGTGAGGGGTTTCCTGGAGGGATTTCAGCCAAGGCAGGGAGGATGGTAGGGAAATGCTGTGATTACTTTCATGTCTCTGTAGTGAAGTAAGGATTATTACTTGCTTCTTTTCTTTCTACTGCTGTGCTCAGACCGTACATTCAGTGTTTGCCTGCTTGCATCATGGTATTAGGTTTTACAACCCTCTATTAGCTTCCATTAGAGTTATTGTGCTTGATGGAAGATCAGAACAAATGTCCGCTTCAGCAATTCATTGGCCTCCTGACATTTACTTTAACTTTATTGTTGGTGCCTACCATGCCCTAGTAACGTAGCAGGAGAATAAACTTGCCAGTGCGATTGAATTATGCACTGCTACCTGGGTTATTTCTGGAGTCAAGCAGTAAAAGGAAGCAAAAAGGTCAGCTTTGGATACATTGCATCGTCTTGATCATGAGGTCATATATTCAGTTTCAGGCTGTTTGTTTTACCTCTTGCTTTCATCAGTACCGTCCTTGGCGCAGTGTGTGACTTGCCTGAAAATATCTTTTCCTCGCTGCAGCTTTCAGTTGTGGGTGCTTCCTGGGAGGAGAGGCACTGCTATGCTCGGCTTCAGGCCTCTGAAACAGAGGAGGCCTTTTTCGTAGCAGAATAGAAAGTGTAGTGACCTTCATGAATGCATGAAAAGCCTCAAACTGTAAATCTAAGCACATGCCATCCATGTTCAGATTGTCCTCCTGAACAGCCTAGATGATACAGTCACAAAAAGCAGATAAACCTTAGTGTTCAAAGTACGTTCATCAGATCTTGCAGATCTGCTTGGGTATGTCTGGGAGGAGGAGTGGGGTTTTGTGGGGGACATCACGACGTGTCATGTCCAGGCCCAAGGGTGAAGTCCTGATGACACCAGAATGAAATCCTCCATCCAGCTTGCTTGTGACAGTCTGTTTCCAGAGCACCATCACGTACTGGATGGAGCAGGTGCAGATTATTGAAGGGACATTAAATGTGGTTTAAGTTGTTTGAGTACCATAGTTTCAAAACCACTTTTTCAGTGTTCTCCAGCTCTGCTGTACTGTATGGAGAGCAGCAATCCAACTCTCTGTGTGATAACCAGTGTTCATAACTAGTTAGTTATATACTTAGGTATCATCTGATAAAAGAAAAAAACAAAGTTGAATGGAATGGGATGTTCATTTAAAAAAAAAAAAAAAAAAGATGATAGATATGCTCTGACTGTTTTCTACAAATCCACACATGTATAATGAAGCCTCTACCAGGGAAAGAAAATGCCCATGAAGGCTTTGCAATGTCAGAAGTTAGCCCACAGCGCCTGTTTCAGCCTTGCTACCTGACTGATGGCAGCTGATGGTGCCAGATGAAACCTGGCAGATACTTGTCCCTCCAGAAAATAGCATCAACACCATGGCCTTTCCAACTGACCAGTCCATCTGTATGTCACTGGTTTTAAAAATCCTGGTTCCATCTTTTATACCATCTTTTTCTTTTTATATCAGTCAGCGTCAGGTGCAGGAAAATATTTTTGCCTTTATGACCACTGGTGTTTCAGCACATTCACTGCCTTCCCAGCATCTTTCTTATTTCTTCTGAATTTTCTTCCCTAAATACTTCTTTTCTGCAATTTCTCTCACTTTTATTCTACTGTCTTTTTCTGTAGTCAGTTCCATCTGAGAAAGGTTGAGCTAAAACAGCAAGCAATGCTGCAAGAGGGTCATTGTTAGTCCTTCCAGACAAAGCTCCCTGCTTCTGTTCCTTGGCATATATGAAACAGGCAGGAATATATGCCCTTTTCAACAACTATTATTTCACAGTCTTTTCAGTCATAAGAAGATGTGAGATAGTGGTACAAACTTGGAAAAATATTAGCAAAATGTTGCACAGAGCGATTTCAGGTATGCCAATGGTCATTTGTAAATCTAGCCTGAATCCTGCCAGTATGCTCAAATGCAAGAGGGGAGCAATTTTTTTTGACAGAGCTAGAAAACTGTTTTGTGTGTTGGCATTTTTGGCAGGAAACATTTTTTCTCTCCTTCAAATTAGCATTCCAAGACTAGATTTAATCAATTTGTAAAAAAAAAAAAAAAAAAAAAAATCACCCAAATAAATTAGAAACCCACTTTGGTTTGAACAAAATGTTTTCTTTTATCCCAGAATCCTTTTTTGTTTTTAATTTTAATTTTTTCATAATCAAGATAGATTTTTTTTTTAAATTAGTCTCAAATCAGAGAGATGTATTATATTTAATTCCCTTTATTGTTCTTGAGCCTCCCAGTAGAAAGCTCAGTTACTTGCACATTTTTTCCCAACTTGCCTTTCGATGACAGCCTGACCCTTGAAGGACCTCCAAGAATTGTCCCTGTGTTCCTATGTGACTATGTCAGTGTTTGGGTTAGACTATTACATGTTTTGGGAAAAAAAAAACCAAACAAACTCATGCTTGTCTTCCATGCAGCAATAATGAAGAGGAAGATATGGAAAGGTGTTTTACAGAAGGGAAATAAGATAGTACTTCATCCTTTTGGGCACTGAGCTTTGCTGAGCATTACGTAGCATTAACCAAAAAAGGGGCTCAGTCCTGTTATTAGAAGAGACCAGACATATATCTTAGGTCTGGAATATTCAGCCACCATTTGGGACTGATAACAGGCTTTGATGGGACTGCATAGGAGACACTTCAATTGCAGTGGAAAATGTTCAAAAGAATTGGGGTAATTAGCATTAATATGTCATATGACCATCATTTTGGATACCCTTCACATTAAGCGCACAGGCAGGATGGAAAGTGTGTCTCAGCACTGTTGTAGTGACTTGTAGCTGTATTTTCTGGGTGACCATGAATAGGTTTGGAAATGAGTGTCAGTGCTAGGAAGTAGCTTCATCGCCTGTCAACCAGACACGTTGTCCCAAGGGAATGGCACATCTCTGTGTTTTCAGGAAACCTGGGTGCATGAAATGAGTTTGGGTAAGTACTTCTATGTCCCACAAGTTCACAGATTTTGAGCTTTAATGTGCTTTTTCTCAGGCATTTCTTCCATTGTTGCCTATTTTGGGCTGTTTATTTGGTCACATTAGAATTCCTCAGATTTGCGGTTTTTAGGATCAGTCCAAAATAAAAGGAAAGAGGTCTATTAGGGACCAGCCCGCACTGCTTTTGCATACAGGTAGGAACAACGGCAGCCTGCAGTTGAATGCAACAAGAGGCTTATTACAGGGAAAGAAAACTCTTGAGTTTGCCTTTGTAGCAGCTGAGCAATTTGCTCTGAGTATGACAGTTTGCATAAGTGCATGGTCCAAGAGAAAATCTATGCCTCGAATATTGGGTAGCAGGGGTTTTTTCTAATCTATCTGTAAAAAAATCTTGC